GGATGCTAAGGAATCTCTATAAACTTCTAACACATGGTGGTCCAAAACGCCTAAGATCATTCCAGCTTATTCCCAATAAACAGGATGGCTACACACAGGAATCCTTTTATGTTCACCTTTGTCATTCATGTCTTATTCTGCAGTACTGATGACATGTAAGAACTCCAGATGTGTATCAGGTGGCTTTGGATTGGAATGAGAGCTAGTTCTGGAACATAATCTCTTCTCGAGCAGGTAACCCATGCAGCCACAAGCACATCAGTGCAACCAGGCCACAGTGAACGACAAGCACAGCTGCAGGATGGAGACGGCAGAGCAAACAGCTCCGCATCTCCCTTGTTGAACATTCAGAAATCTCTTCTGCAAGTGGGGAGGCATAAAGAGTGAGAAGTCAAAGTAAATGTCCTGCTGGGTGCCATATCATTTTATCTCTAGGAGTCCCTGAAAATAAAGATGCATAATTGGACTTACCGTTTTTGTCTGCTCTTCTCAGTATCTAAAAAGAAACAAATTAATGCTGATAAGCAGTCATTTTAAACAGATTGGATTTATGTAAATCGCTTCAGCTACTCCCCTGTTGTTTGGGACTACAGCTCTCATGAATCCCAGCCAGCATGGCCAATGAGCGGAGATTAGGGGAGCTGTAGTACTTTTGGAGGGCACCAGGTTACTACCTATCCCTCAGTGCAGGCAATAGTCATAAAAATCATAGACTATTTTTGAGGAAACGTAGACCTCAGAAGTAACATGGTCCCCAGTGCACCCATACCATGTGGAACTGAGCCATCCACATATAGGTGCATAACCATGGATGGGGAATTATGCATTGTACAACTTATTTATTTATATGCCATCCAGTCACAAAGGCCTCAGGACGGCTTACATAAATGTTGTTGGATCACAACTCCCATCACATCTCACTATGGCTATGCAGGCTATGGTTGATGTGAGCTGCAGTTCAACAACATTCAGAGGACTACATATAGCCCATCCCTGTCTTAAAATGGAGCCAAGGATCCCCAGCTACCCATTTCTGCTAATGTAGCTCCCCTTTCTACACTCTGCTGCCAGAAAGCTGCTGTTGCACTGGGATACAAGCAGGGTCACATTTTATATTTCTGACGTGAGTGCACTCTGGGGAATGTTGACACACATCATTAGAAACATGCTGGACTGTATAAGCTGATCCTAATTTATAGCCGTTGTTATTATTTTAATCAAGAACAGAAATTATTTCTTTGCAACAAACTCTTCAAAGTGTCATCTGACCTAGAGTTTTGACACAGAATGTTTTCACCAGCTAATCACTGGGTTTTTGAATAATTGTGAATATTTTCCACAATTCTGTCAAATATTTGCATATTTGATTCCAATATGCTATATTTAATAGCCGATATATAGCAGTATTTAGCACATGCCAATATTTCATAACTGACATGTAATGGTATTTACTGTTGAGCAGGATCTGACACTGGCAGCATATGAGATAAACAAATCTAAAGCAAGTTAAAGCTGCCAAAAATTCTAAAACATTTTAATTTGGAAAATTAATTTTTGCACTGAAAATTCTAATATGAATGTTCTAAAGTTTCCTTCTGACCTGTATGATACAATTGGGAGTTTGGATGACATTCAAGTATTTTCCAGCTCCAGCTCCATCTGATTTAAATAATCTCAAATATAATTTACAACACTAGATAGAGCCAATTGAGACATTAGGAAGAAGCAACTAAAGACAGACTGTATTAGAATCTACTCTGCATTGTGAATGGTAACTAAAATGTTAACACGTTTTAAAGTTTGAATTAAGTGTCACAGGCTGTACATTTTGCATATCATTCCTTTTTTATCTCTCTGCTCACAGTTCCTCCCCACTGTTACCAATCTGTATATATGCCTGATGAGTGATTATACTTCTCAAGCATACTTTTAAATCTGATATAATTAATATCATATAATCCACCATATTATATAATCCACCCCTTTTATCATATATTCCAGTCAAATACCAAATGATATTTTCCCATTTCTAACTTTTCATGGTAATCTGTTGACATTAAATATAAATTTAGATTCCAAAAGTGTGACTAAATTAGTAGTTTGACATTTAGGATTTCTGCCTATATATTTAAAAAACTGAAATATATGCCCAGACAGGGAAAAACAATAATAAATATGTTTACTATATGCAAATGATAAAAGAGGGAATACCATTCATTTCATACGGAAGAAACAGTTCTTCCTTATTGTACTAAAAGCTACAGGAACAAAAAGTTGCTTTATAAGGGAGTTTACAGGATTCATTTATTTTTACAAGTGTTACAAAAGGCTACTTCCAGAACTGCCCTGTTGCATATTAAGAGTCATAGCCACAACCCCAAAGAAAATGATGTCTTGTTCTTGCTGATGCTCTTGGTTCATCAAAACTGTATCCCAGACTGACTTCCATTCTCTAGATTTTATTGTAATGGTACCAGATTCTGTAGTGCAACCCTAATGAGCAATTGGGCATCACTTTACTTCTCAGCCCCTCCATATACAAACACACAATCTCTCCCCACACACATGGAAGCATCCCATCGATTGCAGGTGAGTGCAAACCACGTATGCGATATTCATGTGGTTGGATTATCTGCTGAATTTTAAACCGTTCGGATGGATGTGTGCTTAAAACATGGCACTGTTTTTATTCAAGCAACAGAGCAGGCTGTGAGGTATTTAACCATTTGGCCTGTGCTATTTATCAGTCCAGGCCCCTTACCTAGAAACCATGAGTCCCACACTAAGAAAACAAAAACAAAAGCGGGTGCCTCATTTGTGCAGCTTCTTTGATTTGTGTCTTGTTTGGCTCCAGGATCTTACCAAACCTGTTGTCTTCATGCATAACGTTTAGGATTAGGATGCCACAGACTAATTTACAGAATCATCTCCTTTTCCGCAGCTACATGATCAGCTAAACATTCAACAGGTGCAACTTTTCCAGCGCGAAGGCACAGGGAGAAAGAGTCACCTGTTGAACAGCTGCAGGTTGTGCAAAGTGCGGGAGCACAGGCGAGCCAAGCGGCACCGCTGCGCTTCTCCCCGCGCCATCGACTCCCAGGCGGCGCGGAAGCTGAAAAGGAAGGCGAGAACGAGCAGAACCAGCCCCGCCGTGCTTACATCAAGGAAGATGGAGAGTCCCTTGGTCATGGTCAGGGCCGAGCGGAAGACCTCGGAGACAGCGCGGGAGGAGGGAAACGCGTCCGGGCTGGCGGCGCCACCGCCACCGCCATCCATGCTGCTCTCGGTCGGTCGCTGCTGCTGCTGCTGCCTCGGCACCTGCGCCGGGATGGGACGGCACCCCTCGCTGGTGCTACCGCGGGAGCTCCTGCTCCTGGCTCCCTGGGTGAGGTGTGCCGCCTTCGTCTTGCAAATCGCCAGATCCGTGTCAGGTGCAGGCAGACCTGGTCGCTTTGCCAGCAGCGTCTCCCTTTTCCGAGTCCGGCTATCGAAAGGCAGGTTCGGAAACTCGCGAGCGCCGCTCAGGCGGTCACTCTCTCTCCGCGGCCCTCGCCAAGCGGCCCCGGTGCGGCTGTCAAAAACAGCCAAGCGAGAAGCCGCTCGCCTTTTCTTGTCGAAAGAGCCGCTGAAGCGTGATGCTACGCGGAGCCAAGAATCTGCTTCGCATTCATTGGAAGCTAGCGCCCCAGCAGTACTTGAAGTGCCTGAGCAGGTGCAGAGTGTCTTGCTGTGACCTGTCAATCAGCATGGTCCGTCTTTCTCAGCAGAGGGCAACAGACAGCGGGACAGCTTCTTGGGAGATTTGCACGTTGGCATTTCCCTTAATACGTAGACATAGACACAGGTACTGCAGAAGAGGCTGCTCATCCACTGGATCCCCTTCTGGTTTCCTAGAGGAACTGCGATCTGAGCTTTCTCGTTCCTGCCTTTCTGCTTTTTGTTTAGTCACAAAGTCGTGCCTGACCCATCACGACCCCATGGACAACATTCCTCCAGCCTCTCCTGTCTTTCATCATCCCTTGGAGTTCACCAAAGCCCACACCTGCTGCCCCAGTAACTCCTTCTGTTAAGATGAGGTTTTCTACAGGAGACTGCCAATCACTCCATCTATTTTCCAGTTGGTTGCAGAATTGGGAGCCCAGCTCTATGCAAGTGCTTTTCCTGCCTTTTCACTGTACAACCTCTAGGCAGCACTATGGTGTAGTGCAATAGCACAAAAATACAAGATGCAATCACACTTTTTTGCTTTACAACTAAGTGCCCTGTTTTCCCTGCTCTAAAGAAACTCATCCCAAAGGTCTTATTAGACAGAGAGGCAAACCTGGATGGGCACAGGGTCGTGCAACGAACACATACTTGGCCATGTGGATGATGGGTGCCTCATGTAGAACAGTCCATAAATCAGATCACCCCTTGTTTAAAACAGAATTCAGCCTAGAGGTTCTTAATGTCCTCTAAAGCAACCATGAGCAAGGAATGACCAGCACATGTAGAAAAGATACACACAGACACACACACTCACATGTACAAATGGCTTAACAACTGGACATACTTGGAAGTATGTGAAGGGAGGCCTAACCTAACCAACCCCAATGTCTGCTAGATGGTTCATTTTGAAGAATAGAAAGAGAGCCTGGCCAGATCAGATCAAGAACCCATGTAGCCCAGCATTCTCTTCCTCACAGTAGCCAGCCGGATGCCTCTGGCCAGAGCGCAAGCAGGATGTGAGGGCAATGTAATCTCTCCCCAAGCCATTGGTGAGCAGGGGAGGATGGCGGGGGGTGGCAGCATGCACCCTTCCAGCTGCCTTTGCTGCCAGCTCCGTTATCCTTCACCCTTAGCAACGCTGGCTAAGATAGACAGGAGCTGCAGGCAAAACAGTTGTGGAGGGTCACAGGTGGTTCTCCCCGGCACTTGTTCTCTGAATAGCCACACTTGTATATCAGCTTTACTCCAACCTGTTGCCCACCAGATGTGTTGGGACTACAAGTCCCAGCACCACCAGTCCACTCAGGAAAGACAAAGGAGATTCGAGGGTGGGGTTATAAAGTTTGGCTCTGCCATTCTTCCTACCCTATTGGCTCCAGCCTGGCAGGACACAGAAACATGAGAAGTCTCCAAGTTCAAGGGGCGTGGAAGAACAGGAGTGTTTTCTGTAGCACCGTACCTTTAGTGTGACTTTTCGATCACAATCAGTTTATGGGTGGTATACAATAACCCTTCCAGGCCAACTGGGCAGCTTCAATCAGCAGAGCTTGCAGATTCTCCTCTGCCTCCTTTGCAGATGCCTGAATTTCCATCAAACTCTGCTCTGGATGGTGGTGGTGGGGGGGGGGGTCTTCTGGCGTAGGTCTGGGCAAGAGGAGGAGGGCATAGTCCTCCTGTGCAAATACAGGTCTGCTTGTGCACTTCCTGATTTCACTCGCACTAATTTGGCCTTGCTGCAAGCAGCTAATATGCTTCAAGTTACTCATACACTCTGGAGAAAAGGAATTATTTGCCAGATCTTTCAGGATGATTTACGAAGTATTTCTACACGCAGAGCTGATTCATATGACATTTTGTTTTCTTCACCCACATTCTCTGTGGGCCAATTCCCACAACCCTTATCAGTCATATTTCAGATTGGACTGACTCTGTCTACAATCTGTTGTTTCAGTTTTTTAATCACATTGTGATGGCATTAGGCTCGCTTGCCAACTTTTTAATTGGCTACTCTGGCCAGTAGCTTCAGCAGCAGCTTTCTTTGCAGATATTAACAAGTGATGATGTTTACCTCCATAACCTAATAAACTTAACTGCTAATTTCTTCAGATCTAGCTGGCGACCAGGCGTGGCTGGGAAATCATTTGAATAATTCTACCTTAGTTCTATACCCTCTTTTGCATTTTCTTTGAGAAGGCCCTTAGCAAGAGCAGAATCTATCTGCTATCTTTTCTGTAATAAAAACATAATAGGACTCATAAAGCTGAGAAGGGAACTTTAAGAGAGTTAAATTTTAACATTTAGAGCCAGTGTGGTGTAGTGGCTCAGAGTGTGGGACTGGGACTCAGGAGATCTGGGTTCTACTCCCTACTAAGTCATGGTGCATGGACTTTGGGCAATCACTGGCTCTCAGCCTACCCTACCTCACAGGGCTGTTGTGGGGATAAGATTGAGAGGAGAAATAGAATTATGTAGTGCCCTGTAGTTCTTCAAAAGAAAAAAAGGTGGGATATAAATATAATAAATAAGTATAATAAATAAATACCTACCTACTCCAGCTTCCTGTCCAGTGCAGACTTGGCAATGCAAGGTGCAGTTACAGCACCCCGACAGATGGTCATCCAGCCTGTGCTTTGATACCTCCAGCCTTTGTTTAAGTCCCTCCAGCAAGAAAGAGTCCACCACGGCTATGCCCAAGGCAGCCTGTTTCACAGCCAAACAGACCACTTCCTTCACCAGGGGAGGCATGGCTGGGCACCCCAGCAAGTGCCCATGGCGAAGGCCCTTGGCATTATACCTCCTCCTCATTGCAGGCTGCTTGATCACCTGTCTCTTGTGCTGGCAGAAACAACAGCAGTGATGAGGAGAAGGGACAGGGGGAGCCACCACCTGTCTGCCTCATGCACTCCTGCCTGTAAAGCAAGTAAAGCAAGTAAGTGGTAGAAATGATGAAGAGCAATAGCAGCTGGTGACTTTGCAAATCAGTTGTGGAAAAGAAAGCTTATTTCATGCATTTAACAAAAGGAAAATCCGAGGGTGCACTGTTGAGTTTTATTGTCTTTTGGTTGAGTACCATATTTTGTATCTAATGTTAGTCCTACTTTGAGTAAACCAGTTGAAATGAATGGGACAAGTTAACCTAACACTGGTTAGAACTCTTTATTTCCAGTAGCTTTTATGACTTTGGAAGTTGTATAAGCTGCCTTGAAATATCCTGGTTACTATAAGATAGATCACTTTTATTGGGGGAGGGGGGGCGCAAGCACTTCATGGCAGAGTCCCAGAACTGAAAATAAGTTCTGGGACTTGGGCTACAATCTTAATCTTGCTAACTTGGAAAGTAAATCCCACTGAACTCAGTAGCGGAACTTAATTCTTGGCAAATGTGCTCACAATTGTTCTATTAGTCTTGGAACAAAATTACACTCTGGCCCTATAAACCTCCTTTAATCCTTACTGGCACAAAATGAATCTATGTCTATCATCTACACAGGCAGAGGCTAACAGAGAAGAAAAAGCCTTCTTAAGCTATGAATTGCTGCTCAGGTCAACTAAAAACATGTGCACTACAGTGAGACTTGAAGCAAAAGCTCAACCTGTTCTGGACAGGGTTTCACTCTCACTGAAGGAGCACGCTTGTAGTAAGGAGGCTCTCCAAGAGCCATCTTTGTCCCTTGAAGCTCAGTGGGATGCTGTGCCTTCTAATAGCTTCGACTGGTGGCTCAACTCGCACGCATATCTGATCTGGAATAACCTAGTTTTGGTAGTTTATGCTCTGGTAACCTCTAAGTTAGTTTACTGCAATGTATCCAACATGAGGCTGTCTTTGAGGACAGCTTGTGCAAAATAAAATGACCAAATTGATGGTGGGCACCAGAAGGTCAGAAAAAAATAACACTAATATTTGCCAATTTGCACTAGCAACCTGTATGTTTCTAAGCTCATACAAGATGCTGGTTTTTAGCTATGAAGGCCCTGATGGGCTCAGGACCATGGTATTTCATGGAGCACCTCCCATCAGTGTATATGAGTGTATCAATATACCATGAGCACAATCAGAGGTGCTCCTCCAAGACCCTGCTCTGAGAGAGGCTGGAAGACGGCAGCAAAGTGATAGGCCACCCAGTGGTGGAAGGATCTCCCTGACAAGGCCTGCCTGTATGAACACTGTTATCTTTTTGGCAACAGGTTATGACCTACCTCTTTTCTCAGACTTTTGACAGCATATAATGAGGTTTTAATCATGGCCTGGAGTTTTCTTATTGTTTATCATTAACATTGTTTTAGAAATATGTGTGTTTCCCTGTGTCTTCTCTCTTTATATGTTTGTAAATTGTTTTATGATGTATTTTTAAAACTTTTTGATGTTTGTGAACAGCCCAGAGAGCTTTGGAGATTTAGCATAAGAGAAATATAATAAATGAAACACACATGAACTGAAATGTGCAATAAACAAAAGAAAACTAGAAAGGTTAAAGACAAACCACTTAGGGATGAATCTAAGCAAGACAAATGTTCATCTTTTATTGAGTGCTAAGGAATCCTGTCACAGATCCAAAGTCCAGGTAGCCTTGCATCTGTTATAGAAGATGAAGAAGAGTGTGTTTCACAGGTGCAGCCTTTCTTACCTTGTTTGACAGTTGGAGCTGCCACAATTCCTCTTTGTATTGCTACCTGTGACATAAGCAATATAAAGTTTCTTTCATAGTATAGAAGATAAACACCTTTCATTCTGTTAATCTTCCTGAAAAGGGTTAGGCTGGCGAACTTTTAAGTCTCTTTCAGTCTCCCTCCAGGGAGGCTGTTTCTTTGTGTGTGCATGTGGGGTGGGGGTAGTGACAGATTTTATTTCCTTGGGCTCCAAGATCACTGCAGACGGGGACTGCAGCTAAGAAATTAAAGGACGCTTGCTCCTTGGGAGGAAAGCTATGGCAAATCTAGACAGCATACTAAGAAACAGAGACATTACCCTGCTGATAAAAGTTCATATAGTCAAAGCTATGGTTTTCTCAGTTGCAATGTATGGCTGTGAAAGTTGGGCCATAAGGAAGGCTGAGCAAAGTACTGAGGCCTTTGAATTGTGGTGCTGGAGGAGACTCCTGCGAGTCCCCTGGACCGCAAAGCAATCAAACCGGTCAATCTTAAGGGAAATCAACCCTGACTGCTCTTTAGAAGGCCAGATCCTGAAGATGAAACTCAAATACTTTGGCCACTAATGAGAAGGAAGGACTCCCTGGAGAAGAGCCTAATGCTGGGAACAATAGATGGCAAAAGAAGGAGGGGGTGGCAGAGAATGAGGTGGCTGGATGGAGTCACTGAGGCAGTGGGTGTGGGCTTGGGTGAACTCTGAGGGATTGTGGAGGACAGGAGAGCTTGGAGGAATGTTGCCCATGAAGTCGTGAAGGGCAACTTTACGATTAAACAAAAAAGCAATTCCTGTCATGTCCAAATGCACCATGGGCCCACAAGGTTGCCTGTTCTTGCAAGAGTGAATCTGCAAAATGAATGTCTGTGAATATTAAATGGAATTAACATACAGCACCAAGTCTGCCTTTCTAGAATTAGCATTCAGCCCAATGAAATGATATAGGATACTTTTTCATGTGTGTGCCAAAATATCTAATTTACCTACTCTTTTGCATATAGCATGTCAGGTTATTAAGTTCCCATTCTGAAAAAAAAGATTACTGTTCCAAGATATCCAGACTGTACAAATTATTTGAAAGAAAAGTGGGCAGCTAGCATGTAATGAATTTGTGCTTCCAGCTGGAAAAAAATCACTAGCATTGAACTGAACATGAAATTGGCTGTTTCATAACTAAGAACCATCTATAGTTACCAGAGTCCTTTGAAAGGCTTCTTTTTATGTGAGTACATTTAAACAATCTCCATCTCTAATGAGGCAACCAAATCATTTCTTAATGTCTAGCAGTCCGTGCTCTTCTTAAACATTTGGAACATGCATAGCATGACAGCAACATCAAAAACACAGCTTGGGACATCATTAAGGATCAAATCCTTTTTCTAGCCCTGGGCTGGGCAGAAATGTTTAGGGCTTTCATTGAAACAGAGGATGAGAAGAAAAGAACATCATGAGAGTTACTAGCTTGTTCCTGTAGTCTTCACACAAACCCAGAAAGTATTGTCTTTGCAGCAGCCACTTCACCGTGCTATGAAGGAGCACATTGGGCATATTTTCCTGTTTTCCTTAAGTATCAGGGGCCAATTTTGTATGATGCAAGTATATCAGTTGATCACAGCTCACTTAACACTTTGTGATGCACAGATCAAATGAGGGAACATGGTCTGCTACAAGGGCATATGGAAGCATATGTCTGAAGGCAAATGAAAAGTACTATTTGTGATGGTTCTTTCACACATGTAGCCCATAAATGAAGCATTTTATTCTGTCAGTGCCAGGTCTGCAATGCTTAATTGATTTATCAAAGTAAACAGTCAAATATCTTCCAGTCCATTTCCCCACCCCAAAAAAGTATCCTATGTCAATCCAGTACCATTGTGGAAGATTCATTCTCTTGCTCAATTTTTCTTGGCCTGTTCCTGTACATACTCTTTAAAATTGATGTTTGTCATTCTCCTCTTCCCAGCTTTGGTGACAGGAAAGAGAAGAGGAATTAAACACAGGCAAGGAGACCCAAAGCCTGTTTGTAACCCGGTGCCCTTTGCCAGACTTTGCCTTGTTCTGGAGTTCTGTTAACAATGAACACCTCAAAACCTATGCTAAAAATTTATGCTAATTTAGTCTCTAGGATTGTGTGACTATGACAACCTTGCATCCTTGTCATCTAAAATGACTAATAGAATTTCACCTACATACATGTAGGTGGCAGCACAAACTGTGGGGTTTATGGTACAAAACCAAACAAAACTATAACAAAACCTTGGCATAGATGTTGAGGGGGTTCCAATGCTTGATATTCATAGTTAACAGACCTGGCCTTTGTGGGAAATGAACAGAGGACAAGTAACTAGTCTCACCATCCAAACAAGGCAACACACGGGGCATTTGCAGAAGGCAATATGAAGGCAATTCTACAGGTTTCATTGGATGTTAAGTCCTACAGAGAGCAATGGGACTTATTTCTGCATAGATAGTCCAAAAAGCACTTCGTCTTCTTCAGAAATATTGGCTTTATGCAAATGCAGGCTTATGCAATTATCATCAATGCATAGACCAAAATGTATCTACATATAGCCATACTAAATGAAACAAGAATTTGAATGACCACTCGAATAAAATACATTTTTTATTTCAATAGTTTTTTTTAAATTTTCTTCTCTGAAGAAACCACTGCTTTTCTTTAATTTCTATTCTGCTCCTATTCTCTTAGTCTGGAAGTACTTGAGTGGAAAATATTTGGTGACATTCTTTAATTTATAATCAGAAAGCTTTAATAAAAATTCTTCAACAAACATGCCCTCTTCTGGTTTGAAAGGAGAATTGAATGAATTGTCTTAAGAGAACAAACTGAGGTTGCCATCTTTTTGAGTAAATCCCAGTGAACTTATTGGGACTTTCTTCTAGGCAAACATCCTTGGAATTACACTGCAAATAGTAAATTTACACTATCATTTTCATGGTTCACTTCACCATAATTTTTATGAAACAGTTTTATAATTCCTTGAACTATTATGGCAAAATAGATACCTTATGACACAATAAATCCTTTAGTGTATATGATGTCAGAGACTCTTGCTGTTTTTGCTGCAATGACCTAACATAGCTG